CTTGAAGTAACGAAATGTATAGTTTAGATTAATCAAGTCATTATTAAAAGACCATTTCATAGCCTCACGATGTTTCATTAGTTAAGAGGTAAACAATTTAAATAGAAATGTAGGAAAAGAAAAATAAATCTATTACTAGCATTGGTCACAACTGTTGCCAGCAATAGAATTAGTCCCACAAGCTTATTGGCCAACTCACTAAATCTTGAATATCAGAAAAACAAATCAATAAATGGCAAACGATTGGAGGTACTTAAAGAAAGGTGGAGACTCATATATAATAAGTAGCACAAGAAGTCATTATTATTGATACGTTTTCTCCTATCTTTTTCAGGTCAGCCTAATAATAGAAAAGAAAAGAAAAAAAGTTGTTACGTGTGCTTCCCCAGAGTTGGTAAATCACCATCAGGACCAAATTCTGGATAAAAAGTTTTGTCGACCATAATATCTAAACAGACAACAATCTCTCCACATCAATGATCTATGAGGTTGCCGCATGTTTGAACTTTGTCATACCAAGTATCTCTAGAAGATTTTGACACAATTGTCTTCTTCCCTAACCTGATTGGAACATTAGTTACAAGAGTGCTAAATAGCACCCACCACAAATACAAATTTAATTAACATAAATAAGAATATGAAGACAGACAAGAGGGTTGCTCAGATAGTAAACACTCTTAGTGGCATAGTCATTGTCATCTCAGATTCGTTGGATATATATGTATATGTTAAATTCTATATTTAAAGTTGGACACCCTTAACAAAATATATGTCTTTGCCGCAGTGGCAATGAGTGTCATTAAAATGAAGGAGTTCCAAGTTTGAACCTCAAATAATACAATATTTTTTAATTTTATTTTGATAATTACACACGTTTAACCTTGGACACCCTTAGTAAATATTTTGGCTCTGCCACCAAACGCTCTACTTCTCTGACCTTAAATTTGCAGATTTTAGTCACCAAGAGAGCGGAGAAGATAGGAGCAAGGATGAAAAAAAAAAGAAAGACGAATTTTGAAGTTGAGAATTTTTTTTTTTAGCATTGTGAAGTGTAATAACAAGTTCAATTAATTACAATAGGTGATCAAACAAGGACACCTTTTCTAATAATTCCCATATATCACTTCAAAAGAAAAAGAGAATAAGAAACATAGTGATGACCAATAATGTAAGGCACTTAAAATAAGTGGAGATCCACCATTTCCAATTATTTGTCCATGGTACGATACAAGTGGAAAATATACATGGATAGATTGAATAGTACTACTTATTACACCCATGAGATAGATCCACCATGAATGTCGTTATCAATGGTGCTCCATATATATGCGCCCTGTTACTTGGTACGTACGACATTGAATGAACTTGTTTACCAGCTGACCAATTTTACCGAGAGCACATGTATGTACCCAACTTTGCTATATGTTAAGTTGCCTTCACCTTTGTACTCTTCTTCACACGCATCCTCAATCACTTGATCAACTGGATCTTTAAAATATTTCAAGTACGATCCATCCTTTTTATATCAACATCATATAGAACAAACAATATAACAGAATCTGAAAATCGATTCCAAAGAAAACTTTGTTGTTATAGAAAAATTTAATTTTCATACTAATCTCATTGACTCTAAATCCTCAATTTGCCAGGGATGAAATTAAAATGGGCTAATACGTGGTGTCAATTAATTCAATAGATTTTATTAGCGATGTTCCTATTTCAACAGACAAAGTAATATTCAATCTCTCTCACACATGCATGCAGAAAAAATGACATTGTCTAGCATATTCCAAGAAAACTTGGTAAGGTGGTAGCAATTGAAGTGACAAAGGGAGAATGAAGATGTTACTGACCAAGGAAATGGATATTTGTTGTCTGAGGGACCAGGTGCCTGGAGGGTACTACTACTGCACTTTGTTCATTTATTGGTGACTCCACATGACAATAAAAGCAAGGGCCTAACAAATACCAAGAAGCCATATATAGGCCCACATTTTACTCCCACAAAAATATTCCATGGGCCTCTTTACTAACTATGAATTTAAAATTTGAAGTTTATGTATCATAAATTTTAATTTATGTATTGACTCAAATTATTGGATTGGATTGTGTCAAATGCACACCATAATCGGTATGTCTGCCCTTGTTTCTAGGGCAGTTAAGAGTGTTTTGGTTACATATCCGATCAAATCCTATACGAATAATAAATGTATTTATGAAAACTACCAAAAGTAAATTCTGAATTTATAATTTTGAAAGTGCAATGCATTCAGTACTATTAATAAGGTTAAGTTTGAGTCCGGGATCTGCCATTATAAGGTAGCTTATATATTTGATAAGCGAAAAATCAAAAACAAAAATATAAATACAGCTAAGGGAAAGGGACTTGTGTGTTACGCAATTTCATATAATTTGATAGTGAAATTTTGAGAAAACGATAATATCTGATTTAATCCTCTTCCATGAATGGTAGGTACCTAAACTTTTTCAGTCTGGCCTAGTTGACCCATGAATATTGATCCATCATTTTTCAAGTTTCGACCCACACCCAACAGTGTGTTTCCTTGTAGAAAGCTAATGCTCAATTCTTGTAACATCACATAACATATAATTTTGACTTTTACTTCACTTTTTTTTTTGTTTCGTTTTACTTTTCTATTTATATATTTCTTGTGATTTTTAGGTTGTATTTATTATTTATACAAAGGAAAGCAAATTTGCCTCTAGCTCAAACCATTTACAATGTCTAGTGCCTAGTGATTATAAAATGACAGAACAATATTTGATGTAACTTTTCCTTAAGGACTGGTAATTTAGTTAGATGGTATGGGCTGATTAGGAAAGTTCATTGAGATGGGCTTACTGGATTGGGCTTTGTTGGATTGAATGTCTCAATATTTCATCTTAATTCCCCCCCAAAAAAAAAGGCATTTAGTTTTATAGTAAAACTTGGGACAGATAATTCCGAGTTGACAACTGTAGGAAACACAATTAACTTATAGAAATGAAACTCCAATAAACCAATGAAGAATTAAACATGAGATTCCGGGGGAATAAAATTTTATACCATCTTAGGAGAATGAGTACTAATCCTAATAGGACTAGGATTAGTATCGTAAATACTAATATTATTTAATACTATTTATTTAATACTATCTGTTATTATTCCCTCAAGCTGAGCGGAAGCTTGGAACTGAGGTAATCGTGCTGTCGGCTCGGGAGAGGCTCGGTGAAAATATCAGCCGATTGTTCTTCAGTGAGTACATACTGCACAGTCATGGTGCCGGCATAAACTTCATCGCGAACAAAGAGAGAAAAACAAAGAGAGAGAAAAAAACTAGAGAAAAGAAGATCTAGGTTTTATGGCTCTTGATACCATGAAGGAATATTGATTGTATTGAAGTGTTAACCTAATAAGGGAATACGAGAGATATATATAGGAGATATAGGAAGGAGTACTAATCCTAGAATACGAGAGATATATATAGGAGATATAGGAAGGAATACTAATCCTAATAGGACTAGAATTAAGGAGTACTAATCCTAATAGGACTGGGAGGATTAAGGAGTATTAATCCCAATAGGATTAGGATTAGTACACTAGTAAATAATTATTTGGGAGAGTTACACTAGTAAATAATTTGGATTAGTTTAAGGTTAGCCACATTCCACTGAGGCATGAAGGAACAATGTTTTTTTTTGCTTGATTCATTATTTTTCTTTTCTTATTGACCATTCTAATTAATTATTACTGTTATTTAACTATAGTCACATGCAATACATGTGAGCGCTACTTAGACAATGGTTGAGCATTTAAGCAACTAGTAGGGTATTAGGTACACCAATTAATTTAATATCTACTAAATATATTTTTCAAAAGAACTAAGAAATTGGAAAAAGAGACTCTTCAAAAGAAAAATGTATTATTAATTTAAGAATGTATACACAAGAAATGTAATAAAGCATTGGTGTGAGATAATTCAGTTATAACTCCCCTCTTTCTGTTTTTGGGCACCATTTTCTTCTGGAAAAAATTTATTCAGTAGTATCTAAATTAAGCAAAAAAAAAAATACCTTTTTTCTTATAAGGCATATCATTTAATTATGTTTAATGGATACATAAAATTTTATATGCTTCCCCTTCTTTTTTCTTTCTTTTTTTGTATGGTTTTTTCTTTAGATCTGCAAAGTACTTATTTAATCATGTGAATTATAATCATGAGTCTTAATTGAGTACTAGGTTATTTACTTATTTATTTGTATGACTTCTTCTTTAGATTTACAAGAATCACTATCACACATTCAAAGAATGAAAATTATGTTTGATGAGTCAATGAATTCAAGTGTGAGTTTTATTTTTTATGCATCACAGATTTGCTCAAATTGATGAATTCTTTTACAAATTGAATCAGATTTATCATAAAATTGTGATGAATTAGTCCGTCACAAATATTACATCACATCTGTGTTTTTCTTATAGTGGACAGGATATGACTTGAGGTATAATTTTATATTTTTCAAAAGAAATTGTTCATGAAACATGTACATTGACAAGATAAATTTATGTTATTTAATTGTTAACAAATTTTGCCTCGATCTATCTCGTTCAATTATTTACAGCTCCAACCTTATTGGCATACTTGTTTGTTTAATTTTTCTCATATGAATTAAAAGCATTCAACCAAAATAATGTACCCCCATATTGGTATACGATCGCTTGCGTCCATTTAGGATCTCTTGGCTGAAGAATTTAGGGTAAATTTAACTAAATGCTACGGCACTCCCATCTTTTTTCCTTGTCTTCCCTATGAGCGACAACATTAATTTTACTTGAAAGCTCGCAATTACTTTGTGCTTATAGTGAAATATTGTGAGTTTTGAAAGATAATAATAATTACATGAAAGAACAAGAAAAGGGCGCGAAGATCTTTTAAAATTGAATAAAAGTTAAATGCGAAAAAAAAAGGGGTTATGTAGCATCAAGTGTTCAGAGGACAAAAACTGGAATAGTCGTTTTCATAGGCGTTCAAGTGTGCTCCACAATACAAAAAATGAATAACTCAATGCGCACTCTCTCTCGTGCCTCTATTTTCCCCTTCTCCTTTCACTTTCACCTAACACTCTTCCAATTCTTTAATTTTTCTTTGGTGATTTGCCATTGTAGAATGAGTGCTCTGCTGCCTGGCCCCAAAATCACATCTCTTTCTCTCACTTATTTGGTCTCAAACCATTACATAAAGTATGACTTAAATAAATGAATGAAATAAACTCATTCTCAGCAGCACACCAACACGACACTTTTTAGTTTTTATTAATTCTCTACTCCCTCCCCTTTTTTCTGTTACTATAAATTAAATGGTACAGTCATAGAATGGAATAACAGAAATCCCTCTTATTTTTATTTTTTTTGGGTTGTTTCTTCTCCCCAACAAAGTTTTATTAAACAAAAAAAAGAAAAAAAAAAGAGAGAACACAAGCCTCTTTTTTTTGGCCCTTTATTTCTCTTACTGCGGCTCTGCCTCTGCCGCTGCTAACGTTGTTTGCTGACAAATTTCAGAAGAAGAGTAAAAAGAGAGAGCCACCACCTCCTACAATATTCTTGATTTTTCTCTCTCGTTTCTCATTTCACTTTAGCTAAATGGGTATTTGGAGCAACCTAGTTGTGCTCCTCGTTATTTTCCCTTTTTGTACATCAGATCCAAACGATGAGATGTGCTTGACTCATCTCAGTCAATCTTTACAAGACCCTCTGAAGAATCTTCAAAACTGGACTAAATCCTCTTTCGCTAAACCTTGTGATGGGTTCACTTCATATCTACAAGGGGCAACTTGTAACAATGGCCGAATCTACAAATTATCCCTTTCCAATCTCTCGCTTAAAGGTACCATTTCTCCTTATCTCTCTAATTGCACCAATCTACAAGCTCTGGACCTCTCCTCCAACGCAATATCCGGCCCAATACCTCTAGAACTCCAATTCCTAGTCAATCTGGCTGTTCTCAACCTCTCAGCTAATCAACTTTCAGGCCCAATTCCTGAACAGCTCGCCATTTGCGCTTACCTCAACGTCATCGATCTTCATGATAATCAGCTTAATGGGCTCATCCCCCAGCAACTAGGCCTCCTTGTACGGCTATCAGTTTTCGACGTATCCAACAATAGATTATCGGGTCCGATACCAGCGTCACTGGGTAACCGGAGCGGAAACTTGCCCCGATTCAATGCCAGTTCGTTTGATGGGAATAAGGATCTTTACGGGTACCCATTGCCACCCAAAAAGAGTAATGGGCTATCAGTTTTGGCAATTGTAGGGATCGGACTAGGAAGTGGATTCTTGAGTTTGGTGCTAAGTTTTACTGCTGTTTGCATATGGTTGAGAGTTACTGAGCAAAAATTGGATGCTGAAGAAGGAAAAATCAGTCATCTTATGCCTGATTATTGAAGAAACACAAAATCATACTTTTCAGATTACAGGTATCTTAAATTCTTTATGAGGCTGCTCTGTTTTGCCCCTTTTCTTTTTAATTTGGGTTTAAATTCTATTGAGGAATTAAATTCACCCATTTCCTAGTTTTTGGCTTTTTATTTTTTAGATCATTATTTTCATTTTGTTTAGCTTCGTTTTCTAACATTTGACCCCAATATGTAAAGACTTGAAGAAAATTTGGAATTGAGTTTGTAGTACATAATTACTTTTAGCATTAATCTGTATTCTAATTTGATGCCTGGGCAGTGGGTTGGCTTGTGTCCACTCCAGGTTGTACAAATTATACGTGGAGATCGTACTTATCCTAATATTAAAAAAATAAGGCAAATCGTGCGTATATTTTAGTAGCAAATCATAGAAAAATGTACAGCTCTATTCCAACACCACGACTTGTTGTTTGTAGTTTAGTTTTTTGTTTTTGGAACAATCACAGAAGCACCCAAGATGGTTTTGATACCCAACACAACCATTTGATGACTAAGACGCCATGGGTTTTACTTTTCAATTTTAGTATTTGTTGTCTTATGCATCCGATTGATGATCCGTTTTGATCGTAAATTCAGAAATTTCATTAAAATGAGATTGAATAGTTAACATATGTATACGCTACAATTCGGCAAAAGGATATTTAATAAAAATTAACTATAATTCAAATGTTAGGTTGTTGCCAACATTTAAGTAAAAATATATTTGTGGCGCCTTGTTTGGTACAATCACGTTTGTTTACGCGTTGTTATAATGAGGGAGTACTGTGTCTACAAATTTTGCTCAACAAATAGCCAGCAAAATCCGGAATATGTATTCTACCAACAATGTTTGTTTGGATTCTATAATAAATAAATACTCCTTCTATTTCTTTTTACTTGTTTTATTTTAATTTTTTAAGTGTCCCATTTACTTGTTATTTTTTTACAAATAACCTATTTACTTCTAATTTTTGATAAATAGAAAAACAATATTTTTTATTTATTATATTCTCAATTTTTTTGAAAAGTTAGAGATAAAATAAAAAATCTACTATGTCTAATTATTATTTTCTTAATATATGTGTCAAGTGCAAAATGACTAAGTAAATAGAGATACGAAATATACACTTTTTGTGGCGTTTAATTTGTAAAAAAGAAGATCTGATTTGAATAGAAACTTTATGGATCTTCCTTCTTTTTTTTACTCGTTATTGCCCCTGATTTTAGGTTTCTGCTTAAAACAGGTGCTTAATTTCTACTCCATCCGATTGCTTTTGCCTAATTCTGAATGGACTTTGCACTCTTTGAGAAATAATACCTGAAGTAAATATTTTGTGGGAAAATAGTATGAAAAAATAAATTATTAATTTAAAATAAATATTAAAATTATAGTTTTATTTAAAATTACTTATATTTTATTATCATATTCATATTTATTGGTTTATAGGTTTGATGGGCTTAAAGAAATAATTTGAAATGAGTAGTAAAATTTAAGCATAAAATATTTTTCTCTTGATGTGCAAATGGACAAATAAAAATCAATTTCCACACAATTTGTAAAATATGAAATGGTAAGATTACCCTTTTTATTTTGGTAGTCACTCGGTCTACTTCCTCTGTTCCTATGTCTTTTTTATAACTTCATTGAAATATCTTTAATTTTTTCAAAAAATAAAAAATTTGAAACCGTGTATAAAATTTTTTCCGTTATTTCTTACTTTGAATATCCAATACGAGAGTAGTGCTAAAAGTAAGAAAAAGACTTACGCCCGGTCACTAATATTTATACCAAGTTAATTTACTTAAGAAATATGTTGTGTTTAAATATTTATATTAATTAAACTATATTATTTCATTTGATATTAATATTAATATTAAGATATACGTTATGCGTTTTCAATTCCTTTCTAACAACAGTAAAACACTTCCTCAGAAACGCAGTTTTAAGTATCAAGGATTCAAACGTTGGCATTGTTTAGTGGATATGAAATTTGTCTCGAAACACAATAAGTTGCCAATTTCTATCTTTTTCGAATGAGCATAATTAATGTTCAAATTTCAGCTATTTGTGGTATAATTGACTGTAGTGGATTAAAGTGGTTGGCATCATTATTTACTTTGATTTAGCCTGTCTGTCAGCGAAATGATTTTGCTTCTTCTTCTTCTTTTCTTGATGATTTTAAATATTTTTTCTACTTAAAAATCTTATAATACCTGTAGCAAAATAGTGGCTATGACAAAAAGTTCAATTAAGATGTTTTATAAAGATAATTTTATATCAAAAGAGATATTTATATATAGAAAATTAATTTTGTTCTATTAATATAGTATAATTTGTACGTATCTCTATTTCTACAGCGTGACTAAAAGTCTTTTTCAAAACGCATGATGGATGCGGCTTACTATTGCTGATTTGATCCCACTTCTGTAACTAGCTAGACTGGAGAAGAATTAATTTTATTAAAAAGCTAAAAGCATACTCTCGTTCTAAGTTTTTTCAATCATTGACCACCACATTTTGAAATGTTTTAAATATAGAGATTCTTGTAATTTCTATATGTAATAGTACTATATCCATCCATTATGAATGGACATTTTTTTGTTAAACTTCCCAAACATTTGATATATACAATTTTATTGAAGTGTTTCAATTTTAAATTTGTATGTAAAACTTTGTATCAGAATAATGTTTTAATCAACAACAATAACAACCCCAGGTGATTTTGGCATAAAAATGATTGATATATACAAAAGTATTATGATGAAAATATTGTATAATAGAGTAAAATGTAGACAATAAAAATTGTAAGAAAAATTTAAGTAAGAATAATTACATCTATAATGCAATTGAATAATAACGTTTTAACACACTAAAACTATCTTTCTTTTTTTTTTTTTGAGTTTCAATGCCTAGGGAGTGTGAATTTATATGTAATGCAAATTTGAAGTTAATAATGTAATGGTGTTAGTAAAAGGGGAATGAATGATGTGCCTTTTGGTGGAATAAAAAGATTGGATGGGCCCCAGAAGACAAATATTCAACTTCCCCACCGAAAGTAACATCAGATTAATAACAAGAGAGTAAAAAAGAAGTAGGATGGACATGCGTCATAATATTAGTGGGTCCTGCCCTTTCCTAGGACCCACATTAATTTTATCCCAAATATAATTTTGTTAAATCACAATTAATATTATAATTTTGAAAAATTATATCTTCACAACTCAATTTATTTTTATTGTGTTATTTGGCGTTTTGAATATTCAAACTTATAATATAATTATTTAAATATTTTTTTAAAAATGAATTGAAATATTTAAACCACAAATATATATATATATATATATATGTGTGTGTGTGTGTGTTATACCTCTATTAAATAAATTAGTGAATAACATGACAAATTAAATCAATCTTTAATCTTTATAAATTGAAATAATTTAATGATTTGATCATATGTTAATTTTCCACTATATCATGTTCAGATTTTTAAGTCAGCTTCATCTTCACTTGTGACATAACTTAAACAACTTTTTTTTATAACAATTTGATTTACAAATACTAAATTTTAACATAATATTTTCTCTATCAAAATTAACTTTGCGATCTTTTAAAATGATTTTGCCAATCTATATATAAATATAAATGAGGATCATAGAGGAGGTGATGTGGCACCTCTCTATGACCTCCATTCATTTTTTCTTATTTTTCTTTTTTTACTTGATATTTTTTCTTTATTTTTTTAATTATTTTTTTAATAAATTTATACCT